TGCACTATGGGGGGGTGAACCGCATCCGCTGCATGCCACAGCAGCCCCACATCGCCGCCTCGTGGAGTGACTCAGGCCGCGTGCAGGTGGGTGGGTGCATGCATGGGAAGAAGAGATGCATGGGGGGAGACATTCATACGTGCACACATGCTTGCACATTCACTCACGCCCATCCCATGCTCGCGCATGTGTAGCACCCTCTTGCATCTCTTTCCCGCTCCCGTTACAACCCTCCCCTTCCTGCTTCCCAACCTTTCCCCTGCCTTCTAATCGACCCTTGTTTCACCTCCCTTTGCCTCTTTCCGTTTCCGATTTTCCCCTCTGTTGTTTTTCCCCTCCCTCCTGCCCTCCTCCATCAGGTGTGGGACCTAGCACCCCAGGTGCGAGCACTGGCAGCAACAGCAGCGTCATCCACAGTTGCAGCAGCGGACATATCGCCCCCAGTGGCACGCCAGGCGCCTCTGCACATCTACTCGGGCCATGAGGATGAGGGCTTTGCTGTTGACTGGAGCCCTGCCAACACCGCCACTCTCGCCACTGGTGGGATACCTGCATGGTTTAGACTGATCAGGTTTAGTTAAGCTTGGTTTGGTTTGGTTTGGTTTGATTGGGTTAGTGATAATGTGGGTGGTGTAGGTAGGAGGAGGGTTCATGGCGGTTTTGCCTGCCTGCATTGCAGCTCACCGTGACTTCAATTCCCGTAGCGCCTGCTGCCTCTCCCCTGCGTGCACTGACATGCGGCTCCCTGCCGTCTCTGCCCATCTCATCGCCTCCGCTCTGCCTTGCCGCAGGCGACTGCAAGGGCGGGATAGCGGAGTGGCGGCCGGTGGAGGGTGGCAAGTGGGTGGTGGGCGACAGCAAGTTCAGAGGGCACCAGGGCAGTGTGGAGGACATTCAGGTGCGTGCATGGGTTTGGTGCATGGGGGATGGGGGATGGGGCATGGGGGATGGGGGTTGGGTATATGGGGTATGGCGTGTGGGGTGTGGGGTGGGGCATAGGGCATGGGGCGTGGGGGCATTGGAGATGGCACATTGGGGCATTCGGCAGCATGGTGCATGCGTTATGCCAAGAGCAGCGCCCTCTCCCGCCATCCCTCCATTATCACACCTCCTCACAGTCCAATCCAACCCACCTACCCACCCTCCCCCTCCCCCTCTCCTCCATCCCCTTCCCGCTCCCCCCCTCCACAACACCGCCACCAGTGGAGCCCCACGGAGCCCGAGGTGTTTGCATCCAGCGCGGTGGCTTTGAGTGGACTCAGAACTCTTCTCCTTGCCCGTTCTTCCTTCCATGCTCGCCCTTCCTTCCCCCTTCCTCCCAAACACTGCCACCAGTGGAGCCCCACGGAGCCTGAGGTGTTTGCATCCAGCGGGGTGGACGGCACGGTGTGCTTCTGGGACGTGCGTGCTGCCTCCCGCACCGCCCCTGCTCTGCGAGTCAAGGCGCATGACGCCGATGTCAATGTCATCTCCTGGAACAGGTGAGAGCTGCTCTCTGTTCTGATCTGCCTAGTATACAATGCTCATTTGCCTTCCCTCCTCTCCTCCTCTCCTCTCCTCTCCTCTCCTCTCCCGCACCTTAGCTGCTCTGCGAGTCAAGGCGCATGATGCCGATGTGAATGTCATCTCCTGGAACAGGTGTGCTCCGCTGTGCCCTGCTCTTCTCTGCTCTGCTCTTCTCTGCTCTGCACTGCACTGCACTGCTTAACGTGCACTGTTTCGTTCCCCGCTTCTCTTCTTCGTTCAGCCCCTTCTTTCTGGCTCCTCCACTCCCCCCTCCGTCTTCTCTCTCCACCACCCCTCTCTACATGAGCCATTTCTCATTGCTTGCTCCGGTCATCGTTGACTCCTTTCCACCCACTCCCCTCAACACTCTTGCATGCACATTCATTCTGCACTTCCCGCCTCCACCCCTTCCTCTCCCTGGCCCCTTACTCACTGCTGCCCTCCTCCCTCCGTCCGCGCCCCCCTCTCCCTCCCATTTTCCCAGACCCGCGAGCTGCATGGTGGCATCGGGGTGCGATGACGGGTCCTTGCGCATCTGGGATCTGCGCTTGCTGCCAGAGGCACACCCCTCTCACCGTCCCCGCACGCACGTGCTGCACTTCCCCACTTGCCCCATTTTCTTTCTCCCTCCTCCCTCCCCACTCCCCCTTGCCAGACTCGCGAGTTGCATGGTGGCATCGGGGTGCGACGACGGATCCTTCCGCATCTGGGACCTGCGCCTGCTGCGCGAAGCAGGGGCGGGCAAGGAGGGGGGGGCGTTCATAGCGCACTTCAACCACCACCGCCAGCCCATCACATCCATTGAGTGGAGCCCGCATGAGAGCTCCACACTCGCTACCTCCTGCGCTGACAACCAGATCACGTACGTGGTGTGGGAGTGGTGGTGGGTGGTGTTGGGGGTGGGAGTGGTGGTGGTGGTGTGGGGGGTGGAAGTGGTGGTGGGTGGTGGTGGTGGGGGGGGGAGTTGGGGTCACTAGCAATTGCCACTCTCTCCCAGCCCTGCCTGCTCTGCTCCCCAAACTTTCACGTTCATTGAGTGGAGCCCGCACAAGAGCTCTACGCTCGCCACTTCATGTGCCAACAACCAGATCACGTGCGTGCTGGCGGGGGCGGTGGCCGTTGTGTGCTGGGAGTGGTAGGAGTGGTGGTGATGGTGGTGGGAGTTGGGGTCACCAGCAAATGCCAGTCTCTCCCAGCCTGTGGTCACTCTCCTGCCTGCCACTGTTCCTGACCTTCCCTAACCCTTCCCTTGCCTGGTTCTTGCCATTCATCAAGAACATTCCAATCCCTTAATTTTCCTCCTCATCCCTCCCCTCCCCCCATCCCTCTTCCTATCCCTTCTCCCCTTCCCCCACCCCGCCAACCATCCTCATCTACCCGCCACCATGTGTGGTACAGCATATGGGACCTGTCATTGGAGCGGGATGCAGAGGAGGAGGCGGAGTTCGAGGCAGGACAGAAGAAACCCCAGGCAGAGGCGCCGTCAGACCTGCCTCCTCAGCTGCTCTTCGTGCACCAGGCATGCTCTCCCTTCCACTTTTTGTCCCGCACTCCCTAATTTGAGGCGCCTAAAAATTCCGGGTAGAGAGATGTTTTTTTTGGCGCCTATAGAGGCGCCATCAGATCAGACCTGCCCCCCCAGCTGCTCTTTGTGCACCAGGCATGCTCTCACTTGCGATCTTTCACCCGCACTCCCTAACCCCTTGCCCACCCATCATGCTGTTTGTGCGCATTATCGTCGCCACCCTTCGGAGCCTCACCTTTTCTGTTGATCATCATTCATCCATGCTGGCACTGCTGTAGTTTGTGGTAGCACCAGCACTCACGCACCTCCCGGCCTTCTACTGCAGCTGATTTTGCGCCACGTCTCTGCTTTTACAACTTTAGGCATCCATTGTTTGCTTCTCTAACTCTTGCCTCAACTCCCGTTGCAATGTGCATCGCTTTCTGTTCTGAATCTGAAAGATTCCAGCAAACGCCACTTGTTGGAAGCATCTGTGCTGTAGAAGCACCATCCCTTCGAAACAGCTAACGCTCCTGCTGCTTCAAGTGATCCCCTCCCTGGTCTTCTCTATTCAGCACCTCTTACCTCTCCCCTCCTCCCCCTCCCCTCCTTCCCTCCTCTTCTTCCTCCATCCGACACCCATAAGAGGGTCAGACGGACAAAAAGGAGCTTCATTGGCATTCACACATCCTGGGCTTGCTCCTCTCCATCGCCTCTGCTGCTTCAACTGCATTCCTCTCTATTCAACACCTCTTTCTACTCCCCTCCTCCCCCTCCCCTCCTTCCCCTCCCCTTCTTCCCCCTCTGGCAACCACTGCAGGGTCAGACAGACATAAAGGAGCTGCACTGGCATCCGCACATCCCGGGCATGCTGATTTCCACGGCTGCTGATGGCTTCAATGCCTTCATGCCCTCCAACCTCTAGCTCACCTCCTCTGCTCTGATTTCTTAAAGCTGCGATCTACATACTTCGAGAGGGGGGGTCTGGTTTATCACTTGAAAACCAGGTGACCAGGTTTTTCACTCGGCCCCTTAGCCTGCAAATAGAACGGTTGAGGGGGGTGGAGAGAGGGGGGTGGGGGTCCCTTTCCCGATATCGAACTCCCCAAGTGGTTTCCGCCCTTCCGCGGACTCTTCCCCCAACCCACGAAAATGGGTTGGATTCGCGTGCTTGCGTGACTTCATCGCTCCTGTGTTTCAGAAACGAGTTGACTTCGCTTTCCAATCAGGCTGCGTGAAAGGGTGTGCATCGACAATACCCCCAAAAACGCAACTTAGTATGTAGACCACAGCTTTAAGCGCTTTACAAAATGTCTTAGTGCGCTCCAACCTCTAGGCCCCCTGCTCTGCCGCCCCCCCTCCACTGCTCTCTGCTCCCCGGTTCTTGAGCATCCAGAATAGGCAACAGCTAGGCTTTCATAAAAGTTGCAAAAGTGGTCAATCCAGGTACGGTAGATGTGAAGGCATACCCCTGTAGGTGTGCTGCAGAAGATTGATGTGTTGCGATGGTGTGACGCGACCTGGCCGTTACAAGGAGCCGCAAATAACTCTCAAATGTGAAGCTTGGGGCATTCTTTCGATGTTTTGAGGGAGACAACACCAAATGCCCAAAAGTGACGGGTGTTCAAATACTTATCATGGGTACTGTTGATGGATTTATTGTGATACGTGACACCAAGGTTGAAATTGTAACAATGCTGTACACGCTGGGAGCCCTCAATTTCAGCATAGCCACGCACTTAGCCCTCATATGCTGAACGCATACCCAACGGTGCCAATGAGCTGCTATGCTTGTCCAGCAGCCTACAGGTCAGGAAGTCTATCTACATACTAAAAACGTACCTGTTGCTACCCAAACCCCAGCACAGGTGAGCTACCCAAACCCCAACCCCAACCCATCTTGTAGGTTAGAAAACATGCACTGGTGCTGCCTGTCCGCCTCTTCTCCTCTCCTGCCTACGGCCCTAGTGTTTCATCAGTCCCTTGCTAGCTAGGGAGCCAGTCTCTCTACCACCCACTTGCCATGCACATCTCTCTTGTAACGAAGCCTGCAATGGTGTGAATTGGGATGGAACGATGGAGACGCACACATGGTGATCAGATTACTGCCACGTTGCTTCATGACAATGCGGATCACCATGTGAAGAGTAGAAGAGTGTAACCCACAACAGGCGTGCGGTGTGCAGATGCTTTTCAGCTGACTCAGATGATGATATAGCTGGCAAGTGTGGGAGGGGTGTGGCAGCAGTTTAGAGGCTAGCAACGAGAGCATGTGGGTATGCAGCATGTGCAAGTGCATGTGCACGTGCATGTGCATATACGAGTGCATGCACACATGCATGTGCTAGTGCATGTGCAAGTTACGTGCATGCACACAGCACCTGTCATGCAGGCGTGACTCCCTGCCCTGCCAGAACTCCATGGCACGCGGCACCACTCTGAACCCACCCCAGTGCTCCGGCCGCGGGATGGGCGAGCTGCAAAGGAGAAAGGGCGAATGAACAGGGTAGCACAAGGGAGAACGCAAGGGGGAAAGTGAGAGCACCAGGGGTGTAACCGTTCCAAAAGCTCCAGTGATCCATCCGAGGGACAGGAGAGTTGTAGAATGGAAGGAAGGTAAGAAAAAAGTGTGAGGGCATGAAAAGAGTACCTAGGGAGCGGGTATGAGACAGGTTAATCATGGAAACCGGCAGAGGAATAAGGCGTTTGGCACATGCACCCGCAGAGCAACGAACCGTTCCTCTGGCACTGGTCAGGTATGGGGCTCAGTAGACGTGTTCAGTGCACATGACTCTGGTGTGTGACGTGTCAATGCACCTGTGCGATGCGCACCGTAGCCACTGAAACCTGAGGTTTACCCTTGTGTCAGAAGAGTCACCAGCATGTCCGCCAGATTGCTGCTGCCTCACCTATTGAGGTGAATGGCCTTGGAATAACTGCATCGAACGGCATCACCTGTCGCCCTGCTGCATCACCTGTCGCCCTGCTGCATCACCTGTCGCCCTGCTGCCTCACCTGTCGCCGTGCTGCCTCACCTGTCGCCACACGGCCTGACCTGTCGCCACACGGCCTCACCTGTCGCCACACGGCCTCACCTGTCGCCATACTGTTTTTGCAGTGCAGCATATGCTGCCTCCAGCTCTTCCCTACTGGCAATCACTGCACTCTGCGGCAGGGAGGACAGACGGGAGATGAATGACAGCGCAGGGGTTACATAAGATCAAAGGCCACAACAGAAAACAGAAGCTCGAGTCATAAGTCACCTCAGCTCACATGCGGTGGCTCTTGAGTCGATTCAAAACCCCTGCCTCTTTCAATTGTGTCACGAGTACTGTAGTGGAGCATGGAGAGGTCGAACCCTCCTGCATTTGAGAATTCCCAAAAGTTACATGTGCTCACTGGCAAGCGCACCAATCTGGCTGCCCCTTTTGAGGCGCCTCTTGAGAGGTCGCCTGTTTTGAGGTTCCTCATAAGAGGTCTCTCTCACGCACCTGCTCACTGGCAAGCGCGCCAATCTGGCTGCCCCGCGGCCGCGAGTGGAAGTACGCGTCGGATTCGGAATCAGGTACCTTCTCCACCTCTCCCTCCACTCGCACCTGTGGTGAAGTGATAGTGAGTGAGAGAGTAAGAGAATGGGTGAGAGAGTAAGAGAGTGAGTGAGAGAGTAAGAGAGTGAGTGAGAGAGTAAGAGAGTGAGTGAGAGAGTAAGAGAGTGAGTGAGAGCGCGAGTTAGAGGGAGACTCGGAATCAGGTATCTTCTCCACCTCTCCCTCCACTCGCACCTGTGGTGGGAATTCTCGTGGTGAAGTCGATGCAATCGGGGAAGGGAGAGATAAGGAGGGAAGATTGGAAGAGAGCGAGGGAGAGTTGTGTAAGAAAGAAAGAAGCGGGAAAAAAAAATCAGATTGTCTCTGCAATATAAATTCCAAAAGCAGGCTCCCCCCCACCTGTCGGTGCAGCGACTCCCAGTAGAAGACAAGGGCGGCCTGAGCGGGCGGCACGCCAGGCTGGCCCAGAAGCTCCTGCCCCTTGCGACTTCTGTAGTTTGTGAAGAAGACAAAGCCCGCCGCGTCCGCCCCTTTGAGTAGCACAATGCGCGCTGAGCTGCGGTGCAGAGGGGGGTGGGGGGAAGGGGGGGGGGTGGGATTGGGACCAGGGGACAGAGTGCAGGGGAAGATGTAGAACAGGTGGGGAGGAGAGAGGGTGGGCTCAAGAGGGTGGGAAGAGAAGATGGACAAGAGAGGGTAGATGGGGAGAAGATGGAACTGGGTGTGGGGAGAGATGGGGAGAATGACAGTTGCATATTTGAAGGTGCACACACACACACAGCATGGATATTTCTTGATCCACATCGTCAGTTCAGTTGCATGCATGCATGCACACGTTTGCTAGATATGCAAGCGAATGCGACTGTGCATCCACCACTCTTGACACCTGTCAACATCTCCCCACCCCTCTTCCCCCTCCCTCCCTCCATTCCCCCCCAACTCCTGCCTAAGGCCTCCCCTTTCATCCTCACAACAAATGCTTGTGGAATTTGGTTCCATTGGGTGTGGACACGCAAAGGCTCATAACTAGCTAGTACCATTGAAGCGCACACGCAAGCAGCATCCCACCCCCCTTCGTCCCCGTCCCTGTCTCCCTCTCCCCCTCCCCGCCACTTTCTATTTCCCCTCCCTCCCTTTCCCCCTCCCTTCTCCCCCTCTTCACTGTACTTAAGGTCTCCCAGCCTCGTCCACAGAGCAGAGGGTCGTACCATTGGGCTCGGGCACTGGCTGCTCGTGGAAGTGCGCTTGCAAGTGCAAGCAAGCAGCATCCCTCCCGCACCCTCCCCCAACCCTTCCCCCCTCCCGTAGTCCCCCCCCCTGGCCTGTGCCAGCCTCGTCCACAGAGCAGAGGCGCGTGGCATTGGTGAAAGTGCGCACATTGGCGTGTTTGAACAAGCGTTTTGAGACGCGAATGTCTCAAAACACTTGTTCAATTCAAACACGTGGCATTGGTGACAGTGCGCGCACTGGCTGCTCGTGGATCCGTGGAAGTGCGCAAGCAAGCAAGCAACAGCCCTCACGCACATCCATCCCCCCTTCCCCAACCCTCCCCCCTTCTTCCCCCACAGCTCATGTGCTTACGGTGTGCCAGCCTTGTCCACAGCGCAGAGGGTCATGGCATTGGGTTCCGGCACGCTGGCTGCTAGTGGAATGGAGGAAGTGCGCATGCAAGCAAGCAGAATCCCTCCCGCACCCTCCCCCAACCCTTCCCCCCTCCCTTAGTCCCCCACTGATCCGTGCTTACGGTCTCCCAGCGTCGTCCACAGAGCAGAGGGTCATGGCATTGGGCTCCGGCACGCTGGCAGCTAATGCCTCCTTGAACCATGCTTGGAACTGACTCACAGAGGGAAGAAGGGCAAGGAGGGGGGGGTGACGGTGGGTTTGAGTTGACTCTAAACCCAAAACACACTGGCTGCTAATGCCTCCTTGAACCATGCTTGGAACTGACTCAGAGGGAAGAAGGGCAAGGAGGGGGGGGTGACGGTGGGTTTGAGTTGACTCTAAACCCAAAACACACTGGCTGCTAATGCCTCCTTGAACCATGCTTGGAACTGACTCACAGAGGGAAGAAGGGCAAGGAGGGGGGGGTGACGGTGGGTTTGAGTTGACTCTAAACCCAAAACACACTGGCTGCTAATGCCTCCTTGAACCATGCTTGGAACTGACTCACAGAGGGAAGAAGGGCAAGGAGGGGCGGGTGAGGGTGGGTTTGAGTTGACTCTAAACCCAAAACACACTGGCTGCTAATGCCTCCTTGAACCATGCTTGGAACTGACTCACAGAGGGAAAAAGGGCAAGGAGGGGGGGGTGACGGTGGGTTTGAGTTGACTCTAAACCCAAAACACACTGGCTGCTAATGCCTCCTTGAACCATGCTTGGAACTGACTCACAGAGGGAAGAAGGGCAAGGAGGGGGGGGTGAGGGTGGGTTTGAGTTGACTCTAAACCCAAAAAACACTGGCTGCTAATGCCTCCTTGAACCATGCTTGGAACTGACTCACAGAGGGAAGAAGGGCAAGGAGGGGCGGGTGAGGGTGGGTTTGAGTTGACTCTAAACCCAAAACACACTGGCTGCTAATGCCTCCTTGAACCATGCTTGGAACTGACTCACAGAGGGAAGAAGGGCAAGGAGGGGCGGGTGAGGGTGGGTTTGAGTTGACTCTAAACCCAAAACACACTGGCTGCTAATGCCTCCTTGAACCATGCTTGGAACTGACTCACAGAGGGAAGAAGGGCAAGGAGGGGCGGGTGAGGGTGGGTGACTCTAAACCCAAACACACTGGCTGCTAATGCCTTACTGGACCATGCTTTGAACTGACTCGCACAGAGAGGAGGGCGGGAAGGGGCAGGGTGGGTTGAGGTGGGTCTTGAATCGACTTAAGACGTAAGACAGTGGCTGCTGGGGCCTCGCTGAACCATGCTTGAAACTGACCCATGCAGAGAGGAGGGCGGGGAGAGGGAGGGGGGTGTTTTGAGACGTCTCTGAACCATGCTTGACACTGACCCATGCAGAGAAGAGGGCGGGGAGAGGGAGGGGGGGATGGGGGCGTGAGGGTGGGGAGGGATGTGGAGGAGTAGTGTGGAGAGGAGGAGAGCACAGTTGATGGAGAGAAAGAGTAGGGTGTCTAGTGTGGGGAAGAGAGACGGGAATTAGGGATGGCAACAAGAGGAAGAACGATCCTTGCAACCTCTGAGTGGAGGGGAGGGGAGGGGAGGGGAGGGGAGGGGAGGGGAGGGGAGGGGAGGGGAGGGGAGGGGAGGGGAGGGGAAGGGATGGGATGGGATGGCAGCAGCAGAACCCACACCTGAACGTTGGATGGGACCTCAGACAGCCGTTCATTCGACTAAACAAGTTCCATCAGATAGAACCCACACCTGATCGATGGGATCGGGCAGAACTTCCTTCTCCAGAAGAGCCCTCCCCGAGTACTCCCTGCGCAACGACGCCACATCAACCCCCACCGCCACCGCTGTAGCTGCAGCAGCACCAGCAGCAGCAGCAGCACCACCACCACCATTCCCAGCTTCACTGCTCCCACCTGCACCTCCCTGTGTCTCCGCTCCTCCTGCCCTTTCACCACCAGCCTGGGAATCAGCAGGAGCGAGAGTAGCTTCAGAGGGTCTACTCAGGCGCACGCACTGCTGCGTGGCGGGGAAGGGCGGCAGGCGCAGGTTGTAGCGCGTGCGGATGGCGGGCGGGACGAAGCGGCCGCCCAGGTAGTGGTGGCGGCCGGCGAAGGAGAGCGCACAGCGCTTGGGAGCTGTGAGGGAGATCTGCAGATGGGAGAGGGGGAGAAGGGAAGGGAAGGAGGGGGGAGGGGGATGAGCGTATGCATAGAGAGAGGCATGTGGTTCTGGAGCGAAGGAGAGTGCACAGCGCTTGGGGGCCGTGAGGGAGATCTGCAGGTGTGGGGGGACGGGAGTGGGCCGAGTCAGAGCAAGGCGAGGGAAAGCGAGGAACGAGAAGGGGGAATCGATACCTGTGCATGGAGGGGAGAGTCAGAGAGAGAGGATGGGAGGGGAGGCTTGGGGGGGAGGCCCGCCTGCTTTCCCTCCATCACCCTGTGTATACTCTGACTCTGACCCCACTCACTCACCCTACCTGCACACCTGCATTCGCCCTACCAGCAAACCTGCCATCACCCTACCAGCATATCCGGCTTCAGGCCTGTCCCAGCAGCATCTCCCCGCTCCACATCCCACCCTGAAGGAATATCGATGGCCACTATAGGGGGGATGCCTGCCTCCTCTGCCGTGCTGCCAGGTGGCGCGATGAGACTGGCCAGGATGGAGTCAAAGGGAGGCCGGGGGGAGCCTGCGGGAAGAGCGGGAGAGGGAGGAGGGGAAGGGAGATGGGTAAGCGATTGTTGAGTTGAGTGAGAATGGTTAACTCAGTTACCGAGTCGACTCTACAGGAACTCAGTTGAAAGGGAAGCTAGATGGGTGATTGGATAGAGGATTTGTGGGGACGGGGTGAAGTGAAGAGATGGGGAAGAGTGCAAAGGATGGAGTGAAGTCGGCATGAGCAACAGCACGGATTAGAGAGTGGGAAGGAGAGGAGGGCATGATGTCATGACATGACATGGAGCCAGCCACAGGCACTGGCTTGCAGAATTGCCCTTGTGCCAGTGGCAGGGTGGAGGGTGCAGAGTGCACCGTAATGACTGCTGCATGTGCCAGGCTAGCCATGCCCACTATGCCCAGCCATGCCCAGCCATGCCCAGCCATGCCCAGCCATGCACAGCCATGTCCGATGGTGCATGCATGCATGCATGGGGGCGACCTTGGAAGGAGAAGCCAAAGATGGCGTCGACAACGAGGTGGAAGGAGGGCAGGAGGGGGGACGGCAGCTGGTCGGGCGACAGGAACGGCACTCCCAGCGACTCCACCTGCACGTATGAACGCACACCCATGCACATCACGGGTCATGGGCGGGCATGGGAGTAACCCGGCATGATGCGCATGGGCATGGGCATAGGAACAAAGTTTAGGCGCCTCAGATATCGTCTCTCTGCTCTACCTGCAGTTTCTGCATTAGTAAACCTCCCGATACACCTGAGACGGTATGGTCTCCCCCCCAACCATGGTTCCAGCCCCACATCATACATACGTGACGAGCCCCTGGTAAAGGGGCTTGGGTGTCCTCTTGGGGTAGCACACAGCGGGGCTGTAGCCAAAGTGGACTAACTTTCTGGCGTCTCGGGAACCGCCTCTATACCCGCGGATTGCACACCTGTAGCCCTGCCTGCCACACGTCCAGCACGGCACTACCTGCGTGACGAGCCCCTGGTACAGGAGCTTGGGCGTCCTCTTGGGGTAGCGCACAGCAGGGCGGTAGCTTAAGTGGAGTGCTTCTGAGGCGCCTCCAAAATAATACGTCTACACGCGTTATTGATACCCTCAACCCTACCTACCTGCGTGACGAGCCCCTGGTACAGGAGCTTGGGCGTCCTCTTGGGGTAGCGCACAGCAGGGCGGTAGCTTAAGTGGAGTGCTTCTGAGGCGCCTCGAAAATAATACGTCTACACGCGTTATTGATACCCTCAACCCTACCTACCTGCGTGACGAGCCCCTGGTACAGGGGCTTGGGCGTCCGCTTGGGGTAGCACACAGCAGGGCTGTAGCCAAAGTGGAATAGGTGACGTGCTGCCACGAGACCGTCCCCCCCGTTGTTGCCCGGCCCACAGATGATCAGCACTGATGGGAAGTGCGATGGGGGGTACTCCTGGGGACGTAAGGGGGAAGGGCGAGGGGGGAGTGGACTTTTGAGGAGCCTCATAGGTAGCCAAAGTGGAAGAGGTGCCGTGCTGCCATGAATCCGTCCCCCCCGTTGTTGCCCGGCCCACATATGATCAGCACTGATGGGAAGTGCGATGGGGGGTACTCCTGTGCGTGAGAGGGGGAGGCAGGAGTGGGTGTGGCGGGGGAGAGTAGAGTGAAGGTGGAAGGGGAAGGGAGGGATTTTGGAGGAGAAGTGGAGCATTAGCGTTGCCACGGGTGATTGCCATCCAGCGAAAGAGAACAGGCGACGGGGAGGTAGGTGGATTGTGAGGTGGTGGAAAGTGGGGGGAAGGGCGGTGGAAGAGGAGGAGAGGGAGCGAAAACGGGAGGCCAGAACGGTCGCAGGAAGGAAAGCATTCCAGCGCATGTCAGCATAGGCTATGGATGCGCTACGCACTAGCTATGCATGAGGTTATGCACCCATGGGTGCCTGTGACTAGGAAAGGAGGAATGATTGTAAGTGCATGCGCATGTGCATGTGCATGCAGCCCATTGAACCCAGGCCCCCTGCATATGCAGCAGCATGACCGTTAGATTGTGACGACGACAGGCAGGCATGCCTGCATGCTTCCTTCCCCTGCCAGACCGTTAGATTGTGGCGTTAATTACCTGGTAGATGGCGCATGCACAGCTCAGCCCTGCCAGCTCCTGCCAGGGGGGCAAGGTGGGGACCAGCAGCGAGGGGAGCGGAAGGCACAGCAGGGAATGTGGGGAATGAGGACAGGTACAGGCCAAATAAGCGGGTCACAAAAGCAATGGGTAACACGGGCGAGCGGAACAGGTGGGAAGGCAGGGAAGTAGGGTCACACGGAATCGGAACGATCATATATGCATGCTTCTATCCTCGATCCAGGTGCTGTTTGTCTGTCCCATGCACGATGCCATCATCTCAACAGGATCATGTCTTATGCTTATAAGCATCGTGCAGTGACTGACTGCTTTGCGGTTGCTTTGAGCGAGCTCGTGTCGCAAGAAGCAGTTGGGGCACAACAGGGTGGAGGAGGTAGAAGCAGCAGGTGGCGGGACCTGGGAAATCACGCTCAAGAGCTTCAAGACGGAGGCCCGTTCCACTGCACTGCACTGCACTGCACGGTGGTGTTTCTGAAGCGCCCATTTTCTCCTCCTCTCGTGCCTTGGCTTCATTCACTTCCACAAACCACCTGTTTTGCACACTTCGTGGTTCTTGCACCCCACCTTCCCTCCCCTTCCCCTCTACTCGTTCTCCTCCCCTTTATTTCTTCACGCCCGTTTCTTAGGCATCCACACCCCCTGCATCGCCGTGCGCCCTCCACCCTCCCCCCCTCCCCCCACCTACGCCCCTGAGCCCTGCTGCGCCGTGCGCGCGGGCGTGCGCTCACCATCACCTGCGCTCTCACCATGAGCTGGTCGATGCTGAATCCCAGGCTCGAGAACAGCGCCTCGTCTACGAGTTGACTTTAGAGTCGACTCGAAGTCAACTCGTTATAATGTCGCACGAGCGCTCACCATCACCTGCGCTCTCACCATGAGCTGGTCGACGCTGAATCCCAGACTCGAGAACAGCGCCTCGTCCACGGCGATAGCTTCCGCCTGACCCAAATACGACAGCGCGCCCTCCTCCGCGCGCACATCCCCCGCGCCTTGGCTTGGTCGTTCCGCCTCCATGCCGGCCCTCGTGACAAGCACGCGCTCGCGAGCGCGCCAAAGGGAGCTTCCGCCGGCCGGGAACTGCGCGGAGGGTGCTGAGAGCCGGGTGGATCGGCGGAAGAATAAGCCTGCGCCCGCGGGAAGGAACGGGGGAGTACTCGCGGGGAGGGACGCGGAAGGACGGGGCGCAGGGAATGATGCGCGAGGCAGTTGGCGGAGGAAAGAGGCGCGAAGGAACGGAGGCGCGGTAGTGGAGGAGACGGTGCGGAGCGAGAGCAGCGAGGACATGGCCAGGAAAGCAGGAAGAACGAGCAAGGGATTCTTCTGGAGCTAGGGTGGGATTACGCGGCGCGGGAATCTCGAGGTTGCTTGGGTGGGCACGAGACGAGATGATTTGCATGCCTGAGTTTGCCCAAATGTCCTTTTTGCCGTGTTCGCGCTTCTGCTTCTTCGCATAGAGCATTGCGACGATTCCACATTCTAGGATGGAATTGAAGTATCCTCATACATATACATAGTACACATACCTTAGCTTCCATGTCCTAAAATGGTATTTGTGGTATAAGGTGATACGATAAGGAAGAAATGAGTACGTTGCATTCCTGTTCTTAACAAGGATTGAGCACTTTCGGGTACGAATAGGAACGGATAGGATGCCGCGAAACGTCGAGTACAGTTGGAGCATCTGAACCGACAGCGGCAGAAGCATCGGGCAGCTACATCGCCAAGGAAAAATGCAGAAACAGGTTCGAAACCAGTTCCCGCGCTGCACGATTTTCATCTTGCTGCAATAACGAAAAATACCCCTTAGAATGTATGGCTAGTCTAGGTCGATTCGTATTTCCTGTATTCCATATATAAACCTATATGTATGTATGTTTTCGTTATACCGTAATCACTTCAGTCATTGTACATTCACTCTAACTTGGGGGCAATTACTTCCCCTGCATTAAAACTCTCTGCGAACAACCTGAGGCTGATCCTGGCAAGGTCCCTTGTGGGATCGTAACATGGTATCAGAGCGACTCATGAATTCTTCTTACTACCGCCTCCGAAAGTTTCTGAGAAATAAAAGTGGAGTCAGGCACACGCTCGCGCGTAAGGATGGCCAGAGGATCGGGAAGCCAAACGAATCTCACGGCTGAAGGCCGGATCGGGGTTGTCCTCGTCCGGCGCCATCACATTGTCGGCGATAGACTTCTTCAATCCGGCAATCTTCAGCTGCGGCTCAATCGAGTTTGCCCACTTCAGGAGGTCGTGTCGACCTTCCAGCGGCTTGGGCACGACGATTTTGTCCAGCGATAACTTGAAGTAGCCGTACGCTGGTGCGATCCCTTCGTTCCGACCAGCCGACAAGTGGGTCGCTGAGGTCGGCCCAACTCCTCTTCGCTAGGGAGAGCGACCTCAACCGCCGACGTCGCCGCTCGAGCTGCCTGTAGTCGCCGTCAACCGCAGCACTTGTGCCCGCATTCGACGATGCTAATGTCGTCGGCCCGAATCACTCCACTCTCGTGCCTCCGACTCCGACCAAGGTGTCACCGCCTTCGTTGTGCATAGGTCAGGTGAGGCAGACGCATCGTCGGTTTCAGCATGGAGAGGGGGGTGCTCGCGCGCCCACTGTGCACGAATTCCTATTAGCATCAACTCCAGCGACGCTCCTCCGTAGTCGCCATCCTGGTGGCGTGCTCGAACATTAGCCTCTCTTACATGCAGGGTATCTCTACGCCTGCTTCGACTACTGGGGGCTCGACCATGGCGACTAAGACGCCTGCCGGACTAACAACGACTTAGGTAAGGCGCGAAGTCGGCTACTATCTGAAGGTTTAATGCGGGGCCGTCTACGCTCATCGCACCATGCAAAGAGTCACTCTACAACGGTGGTAGCTGGACTACGTGGGAGGCTATGGGGTCTTATGGGTGATCGTAGCTTTGATTGTGTTTTCTAGCACTTGCACACTTCTTGGTTCACGGAGCAATTTGGCAAGAGTTTCACTAAGAAAGGAAAATCAATCATACAATGGCAATGACAAGTCGGTATAGCAAGGATGTAGGGCTACCTAACAACCAGCGAGTCGGCCTCCAGTGCAGCACTAAGGCGGCTTGCCAACGCCGCAGGTCGGCGGCGTGCTAGCGAGACTAGAAGGGGAAATTTCCCCCCCATTGCCGATAAACTCACCGAGAGATTCTCCTGCCAGGCATCAATGGGGTTGCAATTGGGTGTTGACGAGAAAACGCCCCGCCATCACTTGGGCGAAGCCGACTTGGAGGAGAAAACTTGGTGCTTTGTAAGCCGATATCAGCAAAGCTGACCGGAGGAAGGGGAGGGAGGGACCGGGGAAGACCAGCGACAAGGACACGGGAGGCCATGCCTCGGAGACGAAGCAGGGAGGGGTGACCAAGGCGGTGGTGCCAGAGGAGAGTCTCGTGAGACAGGAGGCGACACGAACAGGGGGCAGACTCAGGACCAGACCTGGACGCTGCAGCAAACACCTGACCCGACGCAGCTACCTGACCAGACGCAGTGACTGGAGGAGACGCAGTGGTCAGTGTGTACAGGCTCGACCCCGGCCGACGTGTAAACGTGGCCAGGTGTCGGCCAGTCCGAGCGTCCGTGCAGTGGGTCACCCGCTGACTCGCAGGAGTGAACTGGTGAACCCCCGCATCCTGTAGGTCAGCACCACTCACCAAGTTCGTAGAGAACGAGGGGAGGTAAAGACCAGACAGGGTGCCAGAGGGGGCCGCCGGACACGGGAGGACAGTGGAGAAGTGAGCAAGGACAGGACCCCCAGAGGGGTCTGCCAGAGAGACTGCAACTGGCCGGCCAAGCGGCTTGAGTGTGGTGCGGTCTCGAAAGAAGGAGCGAGAAGCCCCCGAGTCAAGGGTGAAGGTGTGGGAGGCCAAAGCCGACGCAGTACCTGAGAGAGCAGACTCACGAGCACCTGAGGGAGCAGACGCACGAGCACCTAGAGCAGCAGCCTCGCTAGCACCTAGAGCAGCAGCCTCACCAGTACCTAGAGCAGCAGTCTCAATGCCCGGGTCGGGCGGAAAACACCGGTAACAGTCACCCTCATCACTAATAGTCACAGCATACATGGCAGTAAGAATAGCATCAAAGTCAAGGTCAAAGACAGCTACACCCGCCCTAGACAGCTCGCCCCAGCGGGGGATCTCAGTGGCCTCAGGGAACTGGTGACGCCAAGCGTCCGTCAGGCGGCCAAAGCAGCGCTGGGTGGAGTGCGCACCCCCGCACTGCTCACCCGCGCGGTCGCCGGTGCGTAGGACGTAGGTGCACGGACCAGTACCCCAACCCCGCTGGCGTGCAGCGTACCACTCACGGAGCTGCTGAGGGGGGGGGAAGTCACGAGTGCGCTGCTGCTGCTGGCGCTGACCACCACCGGAGCCGACCCTCTGCGCAGCGCCACCCCGACCAGCTCCACCTCCTCCGTCGCCGCCTCCTCCACCGCCGCCACCTCCGCCACCTCCGCTCCCACCGCCACCGCCGCCGCCGCCTCCGCCTCCACTGCCGCCACCGACACCTCCACCCCCGCCACCACTCCCACCACCACCCCCACCCCCTCCACTGCCTCCACCGCCACCTCCGCCACCCCCGCCAGCCCCTCCAGCACCCTTGCCCCCCTTGCCCTTGCCGGTGCGGCGTCTCCCGCTCGGGGCAGACGCAGCGCCGACCGACTCGAAACCAACGAGGTCGGCCGCAGCAGCAGAGGCAACAGAGGGCAAAAGGGGGGAGGGGGAACACCCCTCAAAGACGGGGGTGCGAGGGTCACCACGAGAGGCTCCTACAGCGACTATGCTCTTCTCTGCTGCTAGGAGGGCCTTCTCGAGGAGGTCAACGGTGAGAGTGGTGGGGCAAACTGAGAGGAAGTGGTCCCTGACTACGCGAAGGGAGTCAGGGAGGCGGGTGACTATGTAGTAGAGGGTGATGTACATGGGGGGGGGGTTCTTGGCGCAGAACTCAGCAGGAAGCGCAGCGCGGTAGCGAGTGTCACTAGTGCGGAGGTGCGTAATGAGGTCAGCGACTGTGGGAAAGGCAGCAAGGTCAGGGAAGAGGTACGGTAGCATGAGGCGGCTCAGTGCAGCAGTGGCAGGGAAGGAGTAGCGCGCAACTACAGCGTCGTACAAGGTCTGAGCACTCTTGTACTGGCTAAAGTGCGCACGCTCAGAGGTAGGCAGGTGGCGAGGCACAGCAAGACGTGCAGCAGCATCGCGTGTGGCCCACTGTGAGCGAACAGTGGCGTCGGCATCAGCAGCAGGGGCAGGAGAGGCACCAGAGGTGAGGTCAAAGAGGGAGAGACCGTCTGCCCTATCGCACTGTAGGAAAAGCTGCAGGTCATCTACCCAGACGTCAAAGTCAATGGCCCGACCCTCAGCGTCAAAAGTGAGGACACTAGGGGTAGCCATGACAGCAGTAGACTAGCAGCGCGAACAGTAGGGTAAGGGCATTGCAGTGACAGAGGCGCTGCTCTTACCGGACAGGGCGGCTCGGGCGGCTCGGCGGCTCGGCGGCTCGGACGGCTTGGGCGGCTCAGCGGTACGGCGGCTCGGCAGCAACTGCGGCTCGGCGACTCGGCGGCTCGGGCGGCTCGGGCGGCTCGGCGGTACGGCGGCTCGGCAGCAACTGCAGCTCGGCGGCTCGGCGACCCGGCGGCTCGGGCGGCTCAAGTGGCGCGGCGGCTCGGGCGGCTCGGGTGGATCGGGCGGCTCGGCAGCAGCTCGGCGGCGCCGGCGGCTCGGTGGTGACGGCGGGGCCGCGTGGGGACGGCGGCGGGGCCGGGTGGAGCGGCGGCGGGGCCGGGTGGAGCGGCTCCGGGGCCGGGTGGAGCGGCGTCGGGGCCAGTAGAGGCGGCGCCGGGGCCGGGAAGGGCAGCTCCGGGGCCGCAGGGGTAGGCGACGGGGCCAGCAGAGGCGGCGCCGAGGCAGGGAAGGGCGGCGCCGGGGCCGCAGGGGTAGGTGACGGGGCCGCCAGGGCGGCTAGGAGGGGGGGGGGGGGTCGCGAGGGCGGCTTGAAGAGGCCGCGAGGGCGGCTAGAAAGGGCCGCGAGGGCGGCGTGAAAGGGCCGCGAGGGCGGCGCGACGCGACGGAGCCTCGAGGGCGGCGGATCGGGGCCGCGAGGGCGGCGCGACGCGGCCGCTAGGGCGGCGCGACGCGAAGGGGCCGCGAGGGCGACGCGACGGGGCCGCAAGCGCGACGCGACGGGGCCGCTAAGGCGGCGCGACAGGGTCGAGAGAGGGGAGCGCGACTCGGGCAGTGTAGAGCGCGCTACGGGCAGGAAAAAAAGGTGGTGGGCCCTAGGAACAGTTCCCACATGGGAACCTGCTCGATACCGTGAGGAACTGAACGAGAATGAATTGACTAAGGGAAAGTTGGGTACAAATACAAACCCTAGAAAACTGTACCCCATATGTGCTACCCCACTATAGCCTACAGTAGCTATGTCATATAAATCTGACAGATATGGCTGCGCCGCCCTCCTGGCTTCACTGGGTCGTTCCCTCCTGGTACCCAGTGGAGCCTCCGGCGG